CCATGGTAGACATGCAGAGGCCAGAGGACAACTTAACAGGAATTGGTTCTCTCCTTCCACCATGTGTTCTAGGGATTGAATGTGGGTACTCAGGCTTGGCAGCAAGCATCCTTATCCACTTAATCATTTAACGCCATCAATAGCTCTTTTACTGGATCATCCACTGTCTATTTCAACTGCAAACTTAGATCCAAATGCCTTCTCAATATTTTTACCTCGGACTTAACATGCTTGAAACTGACCTTATTATCAATACCACCCAGTTGATTCCTCCTTTTCAGTTCCCCATCTTAATAGAGTACCATTATTCTCACAGTTGTCCACAAGAATGTTTTGCTGTTGGTCTATAAACTTTGTGAACAGACCTCCTGGGTATCTTTTTGTTGTAGAGGTGTCCACATGTGCACGTACCTGTGTGTGCATGTGTAGAAGCCAGAGGCTGATGTTGGGTGTCTTCTTCAGTTGCTCTCCACCTTGCTTTCTGAAATGGGGTCTCTCACTGAACCTGGACCCCATCAATTTGGTTGGTGAGCTCGAGACCTGCCTGTCTCTCGCTCTTCAACCTTGCCCCAAAGCACTGGAGTAACAGAGACAAGCCAGCAAGCTCAGCTTTTGTGTGGATATTCAACATCCAAACTTGGATCCTGCTTCTTCAGCACTTTATCAACTAAGTCATCCCTCTAGGCCCTCTGATTTTCTCTTAAATACATCTCTTCTCTACAGCCTTAGTCACCTTAGCTTAGGTCTCGATCATTTCCTGTCTGGACTTCTTTGATTCCCACGTTCTGTTGCATGTGGAATAACTATAGGATTACATTCTGGATCACACTGAGCCTACTGCAAAGTTTTGAATGGCTTCCCATGAGAGAGGATAAAATCCTAAGTCTTCAGTTTGACAACTATGAGCTGGTACGGTATCCCGGCGCCACACACTCCAGCATACACTGTTTCCAGATATACTAGACCTACCTATGCCTCTGTATCACAGCACAGGCTATCCCTAGAACAGTGATCTCTCTTCATTAAGACTTTCCCCCTTGGGGCTGAAGAGATGGCTCAGTGGTTAAGAGCAACGGCTGTTCTTGCAGAAGACCCCGATTCAAATCCCAGCACCCACATAGTGGTTAACGACCATCCGTAACTCCAGTTCCAGGGGATCTGATCCCTCTTCTGTCCTTCTCGGGCACTGTACAACACTGGGTGCACTTACATACATGCAGGCATAACACTCATACACATTAAAAACAAAACAAAACAAAAAAACCCAGACCTTCCTGATCTGAGGATCATCCAGGTAAATAGAACAGTTTCCTATGCAACATTGGACTTCATACATAATTACATTAAAGCAATGATTCCTTTAGTCTCATGGTAATCTTCAGATCTGCTTTTTTACTAACGTGTGAGCAACTTCAGAACAGACCATGTTTCTGTTTTTCTCATCTTTATATCCCTAGCTAGCAAAAGCCTAGTACATGATGGGTGCTACAAAATATTTAATGAATTCTGAACTAAATTCTGATCTTTTCATTCTTTCCAAATTCCTGAGTGGGTAGCTAGTAGGTGTGGTGTCAGGAAGACCTTTCACAACTCCCAAAACTATGGCTCAGTTATAGTCATAACACATAAAAAGTACTGGCCTAGCGAGTCACTAACAATTCGATGTGTTGACCATGTAGTTCACTAGAGGCTGTGCTTGGAAGGGTAGATGCACTCGGCTGCTTCCAAACACTCAATGCAGCTGGCCGTCATCTGTGCATACCTTCCAGCACTCTGGGAAACTTGGTTGTGAATGGTTATCACCCTTTGGCTACTGAAGGAGAAATGTCACTGACAATTTTCATTCCAACTTTAAGCCTCCTTTCCTTCAAAAGTGAACATGGGTCACGCATGGTGGCACATGTCTGTAATCCTTGTGTTCAGGAGGTAGAGACAGAATGACTGCTGCAAGTTCAAGACCAGTCTGTTCTACCACATTGTGAGACCTTATCGCAAAAAAATGATCAGATAAATATTGTGTATTCTGTCCCTCAGAATCTGGACTTAAACACACACATGACATCCAAATGGAAGGGGGGAGGGCAACTGGGAGGAGGAAGGGGATTGGGTGGGAGGAAAGAGGGTAATGGGATGTGTGTAACCAAAGTGCATGATATATGTACAGATGTAAATGTCATAATGAAACTCATCATTTTGTACAATAAATGTATGCCAACAAAGGAGCACAGAAAATAAGATCCCTTTAAACACAGACTGGGAAAGGAAGCAAGTCAGCTGTGTTTAGCATTTTATTTATTTATGTGCTGTGGATTGAATCCAGGGCCTTTTTCATGTTAGGCATTCCATCGCTGAGCTATATCATTCATTAATTTAGAGAGAAAGAGTTTGTGTGTGATGCATGGTGTGCATGTAGAGGTCAGAGGAAAAATTTCAGGAATCAGTTCTCTCCTTCCTCCATGTGGGTCCTGGAAACCGAACTCAGGTCATCAGGCTTGGCAGCAAGTGCCTTTATGCACGGAACCGTCTTGCCAGCCCTACTTTCAACTTACTAGGAAACTAAGGTAAAACAACAGAATTCCCAAGAAATCATATACAGAATTCCATCTTCTATGCGAAACATATATGAAATCTATACCAAGCGCTAAAAGATCCTTCTGCCTCTGCCTCCCAAATGCTGGGATTAAAGGTGTGCACCACCACGCCCAGCTCTGTTCTTTTTCAAGCTTCAGTCAATCATACCTAAAAGGCAGGAGATACTTAATCATTGAGCCACAATTTCAAATACTCAGCTGAACAAAACTGACTTGTTTTACATGCTTTATCAAATCTGTATTTAAATTTATTGAGTAAGAATGAGAGATGAAATAAGGACTTAGCACTCAAAAGTCAATAATGAAAAACTAATGGCAACTATGAAATGACATCTATTACCACAGAATTCCTTGTATGAATTTTTAATGATTACGAGCCAATGAACATTACAGAATTTAAGCCTTAATATTTCTTCTTTCCTATGTAAAACCAGGTAATTCAAACAGTCTATCTCAAGTGTGACAGAAGACCATATTATGGCGAGAGTACTAGCAATTAATGTTTGCTTCCACACCTGCATGCTTCGTCAAAGAATGAGCGGAAGTGCTCCAAGTTCCCCAAGGCAACACAGTAACTCAGTTACAGACTTTTTCCTGATTATAACTGCAATTGAAATAACCGGTTTTGCCTTTCAACAGCATTTTTTATCCACAACACCAACACTTTCTCAGTATTCTTTTGCTCTCAATATCCTTGTGAGGTAGTGAGGGAGGGAGCAAGAATTTTCTGTTTTGCAGATGAGAAAACCCTAGGCAAATTTTAGAATTGTTTCCAACTTTTGGCAGCATTCTCAATTCACCAGGATATTTTTTTAATCCTTATGGTCAGGATGTATCCCAGTTCCAACACTGAGATCTTAGGATATGGGACCCAAACCTAAATAAAACCACTCCAAAATGACTGCCAGATCCAGCCAAATCAATGGGTTTGGGTGATTTATACTCAGTCTTCAAGTACTGTCTTCTCTTCCATGCTTTTTCAGCACCAGCAAGAGAACAAGACCTTCTGCAACACTGAGCAGTCTTTCTTAGTCATCTGGACAGCCATCAGTCTCCAGGAACAAACTCATCAGGTTATAAATGAAGGCTCTCCACCCACTGATGCTCAACCCAACTAGGAACACTCAGATCTCTGAGATAAGAATGTCCTGTTATTGCTGGGAGTGCTGGCATATGCCTGTACTCCCAGTATTTGGGAGACTGCGGCAGGGGGATCTCTATGAGCTCAAGGCTAGCATGAACTACACAGCAAGAACCCCATCTCAAAAAGTCAAAATCAAAAACAAAACAAAAAGAATGGCTTATTATAAAATGGGCAATTATTTGATTCTAGTTTCAAAAAGGAATGAATAACCATGTGTTTTTGTTTTCCAGTCAGCACCTTCAAAACATCATTGCAAATGGACATTTACTAACAAGACAAAACAGAAATTTAAACAGAACTACAGAACTCAGCAAAAGCTCTTGGAATTGGCCATATCACAACCTGAGAATGCGACAAAGTACTTAAGGACGCATCCCTCCAAACAAGTCAACTTTCACCCTCAATCAATTCTTTAATCAAATTTTACATTTCATCAAATTGAGTTATTCTAGACCAACGGGGGGGGGGGTGTCAGTTCCCGCACGCCAGCTATATTCCCTAATACATTTAACATATAATTCCACTCTGTACAAGGTTGCTTCTTAATACAGATTATCAAAAAGAATCTTTAACAAACTTCTCTTTTTCAAGCAACATAGCAAATACACAATAAATACTTGTAAACTTTTCAGCTGGCAACTATAGATCTTTGTTCTATGGCCGAAGTCTCCCGCTTCATAGCAGTATTGACAATTTAATTCTCAAGGAGCACCCCAAGAACCCCAGCACGCTGCTCACTGTCCCTAATTTTATTAGATTTAAAACAAAATATACATATAGCAATTGTCTAAAAAGATTTGTTGCCTTCATCAATTCTTATGTATTTAAATCATGTAATTTATACTTTTATACAAAAAGATGTTTTGTTTCTAACAAAAAAAAAAAATCCCAGTTCATGTGTGTTGGATTATTTAATTCCAAGGAGTATTGGTGAAAATATTTATCGGTTAACATAGGAAATAATGTAAAACTCTTCTCCAAAGAAACTTCTAAAATACTACCAACCTGAACTGCTCAGCACAAGTCCCACGGGGGCAATTATCTGTAAGGAGATTAAGAAGACTCTATTCGTTCAGGCTGGCACTATTTCAGATGTGAGTAAACATTTTGTTGCCAGTCCCAAGGAAGAGTTTGAGGCTTTAGATTGTTGCATGATGTAAACAATATGAAATTAAAAATACTTTATAACAGCTATAGCATTATAAGGTTAGAAAATAAAAGAACCATCAATCATTTCTTTTCCTAGGTTTTATGACTAATAGCTCTTATAGCTGAAGACTGTAAGAGCACATAGGATGTTCTATGTGGAGACTAGTTTTCTCAGAAGGCCAAAAAATAAAACCAGACACCAACTGATGTACATTATTATTAGGTTTAGATCATCCTTATTGATATATGTATAATTAGAAATAAATTTGCCTTCCCTCAGTCTTTAGCCAATTAGGGAACCTTTACTATAATTCATTGTTTAAAAAAAATAGATTAATAGCTATGAGGACTACACACCCAAAACAATGTAAAATGAGCCAATATAATGTTACCTCCTCTCGAAATCCTCTTCTTTGTGGTTATACAACTGTCCCCAGGCAGTACTCTAATTTTGTAGCATGTAGTGACTTTTAAGAAATTGAACTAGAACAAAGCAATCCCTTTGTCCTTTGGTTTTTGTTTACAGTTTTTTTACACACTTTATATATACAATTTTTAAAATAGCTGCACAGTTTCATTTCTCATTGCTAGAGAAGTGCAGTCCAGGCAGACCATGCTTCTCAATATATTAAAAATATTAAATAAAATCCAACCAGTTTTATACTTTTCTAATGGTCAAGCTGGCTGGAAATAAAGGGATTGGAGAAAGAACAGGCAGTTGTAAGATGGGATCAATCCTTCTTCACAAAAACACTACTTAAACTTATCCCTTGTCAGCATCTCTAAAAGCTCACCTTTAAAGCTGGAAGTAACACATTGCTAACTTAGAGACGAAATCTGTTGCAACATGCATATGTCAACTGCCCATTCAACCAACTGCAACCCTGAGGATTTTTCTGGCCCAGTGGAAAGAGGAAACACTAAGATCATCTCTGCTGTAGTCATGTCTCCAGTTCACAGCTTCATGTGTTTTTCAGGATGTTTCTTGGACATGCACACATGACACTATCACTTCATGATTCTACTTTCCACAAGTAGATCTCTTCTTCACTTTGTCTTCCATCCCAAGAAAGCCACTGTCATCCATCCAAAGGTTTTCCAAGATAAACCAAAGTCACTTCTGTGTTGCCATATACAGCAGAAACTGCTGGATATAAGCAGGCCTTGGGAAGTCCTCTAAAGGCAACCCCTAGGAACTCATACCCTCGTTCAAAAGCTAAAGTCTTATCTTCCATGTCCAAGATGACTCGAATTCTTTCTCCTATCTGTAAACACATCACAAGATTAGAAGAACATTCACCACACTAGAAGAAACAGGATACAAATATGAAAGTTGAAAAAAGTATTAAGAATATGCATGCATCTTAACAATTATTTAGGAAAATCAGAAGAGAAATTTCTGGTTGGGGGGGGAAACACCTGGAAGAAAAAACACACATCATTCTCAACACAAATATTTATTTTGATCAGTTTTTATTTTATTTTATGTGTATGTGTGTATTGCCTGCATGTAGGTAAGTGCACCCGTGTTGTGCAATGCCCGCAGAGGTCAGAAGAGGCTGTCACATCCCCTGGAACTGGAGTTAATGGACAGTTGTTAGCTGCTATGTGGGTGCTGGGATTCTAACCCGGGTCTTCTGCAAGAACAGCCAGTGTTCTTAACCGCTGAGCCATCTCTCCAGCCCCTTTGATCAGTTTTTTAAGATTCACATGGGCTCTATATTTTATCACCAACTTAAATTTCTCTTTGTTAAAGCCTTTTCTTAAGGAAATTAGCACTACAATTTATAACAGCATATTTTACTAAAAATGGCTATCTAAATAACCATTTCACATTACTATCGTCTATACAAAATGAACTATTAGGCATCCAGAAAAATGAAATTATAATATATACTACAGCAAGAATGAAACATAAAAATACTATGCTAAGTAAAATAAGTCAGACACAAAATATAAACATTGTCTGATTCCATTTCCATGATGCATCCAGAACAATCATATAGATACACAAAGTAGACAAGACATTCAAAGGGGCTGGGAATCAGGGCAAATGGAGACTACTGTTCAGTGGCAAGAGTTTATGTTGAGGATGAAAGAAAAGTTTTGGATGTAGACGGGGTGATGGTCACACAACACTGAAAAATGTATTTAATTCCACTGACATACACTTATAAATGGTTAAAGTAATAGTGCTATAAGACCATAAAATGCCATAATTTTAAATTATTATAATAAAACACAGGCTTTAAAAGTTTGCAAAGTGAGCTGGGAGTGGTGGCCCATGCCTTTAATTCCAGCACTCGGGAGGCAAAGACAGGTGGATCTCTGTGAGCTTGAGGCCACCTTGGTCTACATAGTGAGTTTCAGGACAGCTGGGGCTACAGGGAGACCCTGTCTCAAAAAGACAAACAAAAATGTTTGCAAAGCAATTCCACAAACAATGTGAACCATATATAATCACGAATAATAAAATCTGATGGGCGATGTTAAAACTAGCTTATCAAATAGTCACCTGGTGGTCCACTGCTGTTTTCATTATAAGAACAGCACTGATTGTTAAACTAAATAGGAAGTTCAACACATCCAGCTCTTTCCCTATTTGAAAAATAAATAAGAATGCTTCATTTTAGCCAGGCGAGATGGTGCTCGCCTGTAGTCCCAGAACTTGGGAGGCAGAGGCAGGCACATCTCTGTGAGTTCAAGGCCTGCCTGGTCTACATAGTGAGTTCCAGGCCAGATAAGAACAGCACTGATTGTTAAACTAAATAGGAAGTTCAACACATCCAGCTCTTTCCCTATTTGAAAAATAAATAAGAATGCTTCATTTTAGCCAGGCGAGATGGTGCTCGCCTGTAGTCCCAGAACTTGGGAGGCAGAGGCAGGCACATCTCTGTGAGTTCAAGGCCTGCCTGGTCTACATAGTGAGTTCCAGGCCAGGGAAACCCTATCTCAAAAAGACTGGAAAACAAAAACAAACAAACAAAAAATCTAGAACTAAAACTACTTTAATTTTTCTATAACCCACTGTGAATTTCACTTACTTTTGTTGACTGCTGTGAGGGTCAGCCCTATTCCTTCTAATAGCATATGCATTCTCATAGAAAAAAAAAATCAGGACCAGTCTCGGCTTGTTGACGGTTGTGCTCATTCATTAAAGGAGGGCCAAGCAGGGTCATTGGACCCTCACTGGATTATCCAGCCACTCTTCCCAGGCAACTCTATGTAATTTGACCCTGATCACACATGGTCTCCTGGATTTGGGGAGGGCTAAAGTATACAATCTGGGGAAGGCTAGGAAGAGAGGGCATGACCCATGCTGGGTTAAGGCTTTCCAGTGTGCGTACCCCTCATGTCATATATACACCTCAGCAACCCCTCAGTTGGTAAGTAAGCTCAATAAATTCATTGGTTCCCCAGTAAAACTTTAATCAAACATTGGCTTGACACTAGAACCTTAAAAGGGAATAAGCATGGCTTAGCATCCCCAGGAAAAGAAGTCTCACAACAGACGGAAAATTTGTTAATGCTATTATGTCTCATAATTATTTTCTTTAAAAAAGAAGAAAATGAGAATGTAAAAGATGTTAAAAGGATATGGAGATATTTTCCAAAATAGAAAAAATGAGAAAGCCTCACCAAGTGAAGAAGGTCTGTTTAGGTTTGTTACGATATATCAAGGATGAAACAAAAATAATATATAATCTTAAAATTTCTATGGTCGTTGGGCGTGGTAGTGCACACCTTTAATCTCAGCACTTGGGAGGCAGAGGCAGGCGTTGTGAGTTCAAGGCCAGTCTGGTCTACATAGTGAGTTCCAGGACAGCTGGGGCTACAAGGAGACTCTGTCTCAAAAAACAACAACAACAAAACAATTCTATGGTCATAGTTTAGTCAACTAGTTTAAGGAACAAAACATATTATCTAGTCAAGGTTTATCTGAGAATATTTGTTTTTTTTACCCAAGTCTTATCTAATAGCACATGATAATTAGAAGTACCACACTGGTGGAACTAACCTCTTTGGATGTTTAACAGCCATAGTTTGAGGCCTATACTAATGTGGTCAGAGGGGCTTAAAGGACAGTTTTTGCCCCTTGCCCTCAAAGGTTGACTAAATTCCAGGGGACTATGGAACATCTCTCAAAATGTCCTGTAAATGTGGTGAATTACCTGTCCTCTTGTTCAGGGAGGTCATGGAGACCCCTTGGGATGGACTTGAACCAGTGTCCAGTCTACAAAGAGAAGGGTCAACTCAGAGGAAACATCTCATTCATGCTTCCAAGTGAGGCCAGACATGGTTGAGCAGGACCTTTAACTTATCTTCACATAGATGGAACTGGTAAAAGAAAGGAACCAGGAGCTCCTCCAAGCCCATGTGACCCCTGAGGAACAGATCCTCAAATGACCTTATGTGTGAAAATAAATTGATTAGTTTGGGCCAACTGTATGGTCTTAAACACCCAAAAGGAAAGTATAACCAAACAAAGATTAAAGGATCAATATAATTCTTTAAGAGTCCATGTGTATAGCTAAAGGCTACATAACAAGAAACAATG